GGAGGACAGAGCCGTTTTTGGGAGGACAGAGGGAATTTTGGGGAGGACAGAGCCGTTTTTGGGAGGACAGAGGGAATTTTGGGGAGGACAGAGCCGTTTTTGGGAGGACAGAGGGAATTTTGGGTCGAGATTGGGATTTTTTTGGGGGGAAATTGGGGTTTTTCGGAGGGTGGGGGATGGGAGGGTCCCCAAATCCCCGCGACCCCAAAATTTGGGATTTTAGGAAGGAAAAATAAAGGGCGGGATTGGCCCCTCCCCCACCCCCCAACCCAAATTTGGGGCTCCTCAGGGGGTGGGGGAGGGGTGACCCGTCCCAAATTCCCCAAATCTGGGTCCGGGGGGTCCTCGGGGACCCGGCCGAGATTTTTTTTTGGGAAGCGAAATTCCCAAATTTAGCTCGGGATCCCTTTGGGAGCCCCTCCCCCTTCCTCTCCTCCCAAGCGACGCGGCCCCTTTAAGAGAAACCACGCCCACGCGGCGTCATTTGAATAACCACGCCAATTGCCGCAGGGCGAGGCCGCGCCCTCCCTGTAGAAATCAATGGGGGTTTAAGCCACGCCCCCTCCGATAGAAATCAATGGGGGTTAAGCCACGCCCCCTCCATCTACAGCAATGCTGTCTAAACCACGCCCCCTTAAGCCACGCCCCCTCAGTGTAAAGCAACGGGGTTTAAGCCACGCCCCCTCCCAGCCCGCCTCTCGCTTGCCGCAATGCCGAGGCCACGCCTCCGCCCCTCTAAGCCACGCCCACGGCGCTAAGCCACGCCCCTCTCCGCCTGCCGCGGGGCCCGGCCGAGTGTCCGAGTGTCCGTGGGTCCGGCCGGGTGTCCGTGGGGCTGTCCGTGTGTCCGTGGGTCCGGCCGAGTGTCCGTGGGGCTGTCCGTGCGTCTGTGGGGCTGTCCGTGTGTCCGTGGTTCCGGCCGGCTGTCCGTCTGTCCGTGGGTCCGGCCGGGTGTCCGTGGGGCTGTCCGTGTGTCCGTGGGTCCGGCCGGGTGTCCGAGTGTCCGTGGGTCCGGCCGGGTGTCCGTGGGGCTGTCCGTGTGTCCGAGCGTCCGTGGGGCTGTCCGTGCATCTGTGGGGCTGTCCGTGTGTCCGTGGGGCTGTCTGTGTGTCCGTGGGTCCGGCCGGGCTCTGACCGAGTGACCAATTGTCCGTGGGTCCGTGGGGCTGTCCGTGTGTCCGTGCGGCTGTCCGTGTGTCCGTGGGTCCGGCCGAGTGTCCGTGGGGCTGTCCGTGCGTCTGTGGGGCTGTCCGTGTGTCCGTGGTTCCGGCCGGCTGTCCGTCTGTCCGTGGGTCCGGCCGGGTGTCCGAGCATCCCTGGGTCCGGCCGGGTGTCCGTGGGGCTGTCCGTGTGTCCGAGCGTCCGTGGGGCTGTCCGTGCGTCTGTGGGGCTGTCCGTGTGTCCGAGTGTCCGTGGGGCTGTCCGTCTGTCCGTGGGTCCGGCCGGGTGTCCGAGGGTCCGTGGGTCCGGCCGGGGGTCCGTGGGGCTGTCCCGTCCGTGGGTCCGGCCGGGCTCTGGCCCAGTGGCCGGAGGAGCAGCCGCGTGTCCGAGCAGTGTCCGAGTGGCCGGAGAGTTCAGGTCAGTCCGTCCGTGTGTCCGTGGGTCTGTCCGTCTGTCTGAGTGTCCATGGGCGTGTCCGTTTGTCCGAGTGTCCGTGTGTCCGTGGGCGTGTCCATCTGTCCGTGGTGCTGTCGCTGTGTCCACCCCAGTGTCCACTCCTGTGTCCATCCCTCTGTCCATCCCCATGTCCATCCATGTGTCCACTCCTGTGTCCACTCCCGTGTCCCTGTGTCCATCCCTGTGTCCACTCCCATGTCCGTTGGTCTGTCCATGTGTCCATCCTTGTGTCCACTCCCATGTCCACACCAGTGTCCGTGGGTCTGTCCCCATGTCCATCCCTGTGTCCACTCCTGTGTCCATCCCCATGTCCATCCATGTGTCCACTCCCATGTCCACTCCAGTGTCCGTGGGTCTGTCCCTGTGTCCATCCCAGCGTCCACTCCCGTGTCCATCTGTGGGTCTGTCCATGTGTCCGTGGCTTTGTCCCTATGTCCATCCCAGTGTCCACTCCCATGTCCACTCCAGTGTCCACTGCTGTGTCCATCTGTGGGTCTGTCCCTGTGTCCGTGGGTCTGTCCCCATGTCCATCCCTGTGTCCACTCCTGGGTCCGTGGGTCAGTCCCTGTGTCCATCCCTGTGTCCATGGGTCCATCCCTGTGTCCACTCCTGTGTCCGTGGGTCCATCCCTGTGTCCACTCCCATGTCCACTCCAGTGTCCACTGCTGTGTCCATCTGTGGGTCTGGCCCTGTGTCCATGGGTCTGTCCCCATGTCCATCCCTGTGTCCACTCCAGTGTCCATCTATGGGTCAGTCCCCGTGTCCATCCCTCTGTCCACTCCCATGTCCATGGGTCTGACCCTGTGTCCATCCCTGTGTCCATCCCCATGTCCGTGTGTCCATCCCTGTGTCAACTCCACTGTCTGAGGGTCAGTCCCTTTGTCCATCCCTGTGTCCGGCCATGGGTCTGTCCGTGTGTCCATCCCTGTGTCCCCCCCTGTGTCCGTGGGTCTGTCCTGGTGTCCACCTCAGTGTCCACTCCCCTGTCCATCCCTGTGTCCATCCCAGTGTCCACTCCCTTGCCCACTCCCGTGTCCATCTGTGGGTCTGTCCATGTGTCCGTGGGTCCGTCCCTGTGTCCATCCCTGTGTCCATCCCTGTGTCCATCCCTGTGTCCATCCCTGTGTCCATCCCTGTGTCCATCCCTGTGTCCATCCCTGTGTCCATCCCTGTGTCCATCCCTGTGTCCATCCCTGTGTCCATCCCTGTGTCCATCCCTGTGTCCATCCCTGTGTCCATCCCTGTGTCCATCCCTGTGTCCATCCCTGTGTCCATCCCTGTGTCCATCCCTGTGTCCATCCCTGTGTCCATCCCCATGTCTGTGTGTCCCTCCCTGTGTCCACTCCTGTGTCCACGGCCCTGTCCGTGGGGCTGTCCGTGTGTCCATCCCTGGGTCCACTCCCGTGTCCGTGGGTCTGTCCGTGTGTCCATTCCTGTCCACCTCCGTGTCCGTGGGTCTGTCCTGCTGTCCATCCCCGTGTCCAGCCTTGGCTCTGTCCACAGTTCTGTCCATCTGTCCATCCAGGTGTCCGTGTGTCCATCTGTGTGTCTGTGGGTGTGTCCAGGTGTCCATCCAGGTGTCCGTGGCTCTGTCCGTGTGTCTGTCCAGGTGTCCGTGGCTCTGTCCACGGCTCTGTCCTTGTGTCCATCCAGGTGTCCGTGTGTCCATCTGTGTGTCTGTGGGCGTGTCCAGGTGTCCATCCAGGTGTCCCTGGCTGTGTCCATGTGTCCGTGTGTCTGTCCAGGTGTCCACGTGTCTGTCCAGGTGTCCGTGGCTCTGTCCACGGTGTGTCTGTGGGCGTGTCCAGGTGTCCATCCAGGTGTCCCTGGCTGTGTCCATGTGTCCGTGTGTCTGTCCAGGTGTCCACGTGTCCGTCCAGGTGTCCGTGGCTCTGTCCACTGCTCTGTCCTTGTGTCCATCCAGGTGTCCAGGAGTCCATGGCTCCCTCCAGGTCCGGATGTCCAGGTGTCCGTGGGTCCGTCCAGGTGTCCGTGGGTGTGTCCAGGTGTCCATCCAGGTGTCCGTGAGTCCGTCCAGGTGTCCGTGGGTCTGTCCAGGTGTCCATCCTGATGTCCGTCCCTGTGTCCAGGTGTCCATCCTCATGTCCTTGAGTCCGTCCTCGTGTCCGTGTGTCCCATCCAGGTGTCATCCAGGTGTCCGTATGTCCATGCAGGTGTCCATCCAGGTGTCCATCTGTCCAGGTGTCCATCTGTCCAGCAGGGTGTGCAATAGCACAAGTGAAGCTGGAGCGGTCAGTGGCTGGAGTGGTCAGTGGCCGGAGCGGTGGCCGGAGTGGCAGTGTCCAGCCAGAGTCCATGTGTCCATCCAGGTGTCCATCTGTCCAGGCGTCCATCTGTCCAGCAGGGTGTGCAATAGCGCAGGTGAGACCAGAGCGGTCAGTGGCCAGAGCAGTGACCAGAGTGGCAGTGTCCATCCCGGTGTCCAGGTGTCTGTGTGTCCATCCAGGTGTCCATCCAGGTGTCCGTGTGTCCATCCAGGTGTCCATCCAGGTGTCCAGGTGTCCATGTGTCCATCCCGGTGTCCAGGTGTCCGTGTGTCCATCCAGGTGTCCGTGTGTCCATCCAGGTGTCCATCCAGGTGTCCATCTGTCCAGCAGGGTATGTGATGGCACGGATGGGGCTGGAGCCAGAGTGGTCAGTGGCCAGAGCAGTGGCCGGAGTGGCAGTGTCCAGCCAGAGTCCATGCGTCCATCCAGGTGTCCATCCAGGTGTCCATCCAGGTGTCCATCCAGGTGTCCATCTGTCCAGCAGGGTGTGCAATAGCGCAAGTGAAGCTGGAGTGGTCAGTGGCCGGAGCGGTGGCCGGAGGGGCAGTGTCCAACACCTGGGATCCCTGGGGGGTCACACACCTGGTCGGTCACACACCTGGTCAGTCACACACCTGGTCAGTCACACACCTGGGCAGGTGTGACACACCTGGGACACCTGGGGGGTCACACACCTGGGGGGTCACACACCTGGTCAGTCACACACCTGGGCAGGTGTCCCAGGTGTGCCCAGGTGACCTCGGGTGACCCCAGGTGTATCCCCAGGTGTGTCAGGGCTATCCCAGGTGTGCCCAGGTGTATCTCAGGTGACCCCAGGTGTATCCCAGGTGTGCCCAGGTGTATCTCAGGTGACCCCAGGTGTATCCCAGGTGTGCCCAGGTGTATCCCAGGTGTGCCCAGGTGTCCCCAGGTGTGCCCAGGTGTGCCCAGGTGTATCCCAGGTGTGCCCAGGTGTGCCCAGGTGTGCCCCAGGTCTATCCCAGATGTGCCCAGGTGTCCCCAGGTGTATCCCAGGTGTGCCAGGGCTATCCCAGGGCTATCCCAGGTGTGCCCAGGTGTGCCCCGCTGACCCCTCCCCTTTTCTCTCTCCCTCCAGGGGCATCGGCAAGCAGGGCCTGCAGTGCATGGGTGAGACCCCCCCCAAAATCCCAAAATCTCCCAAAATCCCACCCAAATCTTCCCCCAAAATCCCCCCAAATCCCAAAATTTGCCCAAAATCCCCTCAAATTTCCCCAAAATTCCCCCCAAAATCCCCAAATTTGCCCAACATTTCCCCCAAATTCCCCCCAAAATCCCCAAGTTTTCCTAAGATTTCCCCAAAATCCCCTGCAAGAACCCAAATTTTCTCAAAATTTTCCCCAAAATTCCCCCAAAATTCTCCCAAATCCTCCCCGAGACCCCAAAATTTCCCTCAAATCCTTCTCAAATCCCCCAGACTTTCTGAAAAACCCCAAATTCCCTCCAAAATCCCCAAATTTTCCCAAAAATTTTCCCAAATCCAACAAAAATTCCACCCAAATCCCCCCAGACCCCAAAAATTCCCGAAATTCCTCACAAATCCCCCCAAATTCCCCCGAATTTCTCTAAAATCCCCAAAAATTACCCCAAATTCCCCCCAAAATTTCCCCAAATCCTCCCCAAGACCCCAAATTACCCGAAATTCCCCCCAAAATTCCCCCAAATCCTCCCCAAGACCCCAAAAATTCCCCAAAGTTCCCCAAAATTCCCAAATTTGGGGCTTTGGGACCCTGGGATTTGAAGTGGGCGTGGCCAGGGCGGTGATTGACAGGCTGAGCTGCGTTGCCATGGCAACCACGGAGGGGAAATTTGGGGGAATTTTTGGGGTCCTGGAGGGAATTTGGGGGAATTTTCGGGGGATTTGGGATTTGGGGGGATTTTGGGGGGTCATGGATGAGATTTGGGGGGAATTTAGGGGAAATTTTGGGGAATTTGGGGAAAATTTGGGGAGAATATTGGGGATTTTTGGGAGAATTTTGGGGGGAATTTGGGATTTTGCGGGGCCCGGATGGGATTTTGGGGTAAAATTTAGGGATTTTGGGTGGTTTTGGGGGGGAATTTTGGGGGGAATTTTGGGAATTTTGAGAGGAATTTTTGGGAATTTTAGGGGGATTTTTGGGTGGAATTTTGGGGGAATTTTGGCAACTTTGGGGGGAATTTCGAGGGGAATTTTAGCGGGAATTTTTGGGAATCTTGGGTGGATTTTTGGGTGGAATGTGGGGAATTTTGGGGGAAATTTTGGGTAGATTTTTTTTTTAATTTTGAGGAGAATTTTAGGGATAATTTTGGAGGGAATTTTGGAACTTTTTGAGGAGAATTTGAGCGGGGAAATTTGGGAATTTTGAGGGTTTTTTGGGGGGGAATTTTTGAGGGAATTTTTTGGAACTTTGGGGGGGAATTTTGGGTGGATTTTTGGGAATTTTGGGGGGATTTTTTGGTGAAATTTTGGTGGAATTTCGGGAAATTTGGGGGGAATTTTGAGGGGAATTTTAGGGGGAATTTCAGGAATTTGGGGGGGATTTTTTGGGGTGAATTTTGGGGTAGTTTTGGGGTGAATTTTGGGAATTTTGGGCCGTTCCTGACCCTTTTTTTGGCAGTTTGCAGTTTCGTGGTTCACAAACGCTGCCACGAATTCGTCACCTTCGAATGTCCCGGGGCCGGGAAGGGACCCCAGACTGACGTGAGTCCCAAAATCCCCAAAAATCCCCCAAAAATCTCCCAAAATTACCAACAAATTCCCCTGAAATCCCCAAAAATTTCTCCCCAAAATTTCCCCCAAAATTTCTCCCAAAATTCCCAACAAATTCCCCCAAAATTCCCAAAAATTTCTCCCCAAAATTCCCCCCAAAATCCCCCTCCAAAAATCTCCAAAATTCCCAACAAATTCCCCCAAAATTCCCCTCCACAAAATCCCCAAAATTTCCTCAAAGTTTTCCTCAAAAATCCCCCCAAAATCCCCTCAAAATCTCCCAAAATTCTCAACAAATTCCCCTCCAAAAATCCCCAAAATTCCCCTCCAAAACCCCCAAAATTCCGAAAAATTTCTCCCCAAATTTCCCCCCAAAATCCCCTCAAAATCTCCCAAAATTCCCAACAAATTCCCCCAAAATCCCCAAAAATTTCTCCCCAAATTTCCCCCCAAAATTCCCCTCCAAAAATCTCCAAAATTCAAATTCCCCCAAAATCCCCAAAAATTTCTCCCCAAAATTCCCCTCCAAAAATCCCCAAAATTCCCAACAAATTCCCCCAAAATTTCCCCCAAAATCCCCTCAAAATCTCCCAAAATTCCCAACAAATTCCCCCCCAAATTCTCCTCAAAAAATCCCCACCAAATTCCCCCAAAATTTCCTCAAAATTCCTCCCAAAATCCCCAAAAATTTTCCCCAAAATCTCCCCGAAATTTCCCAAAAATCCCCCAAAATCCCCTCAAAAAATCCCCAAGATTCCCACCAAATTCTCCCAAAATTCCCAAAAATTTTCCCCAAAATCCCCTCCAAAAATCCCCAAAATTCGCATTAAATTCCACCAATTTCCCCCAAAATTTCCTCCAAATTCCCTCCAAAATTCCCCTAAAAAAACCCAAAATTCCCTCCAAAAATTCCTAAAAATTCCACCCAAAATTCCCGAAAATTCCCCCCAAAATTTTTTTTAAATCCCCCAAAATTTGGCCATTTTAACCCTTAAAATGCCGAAATTTCTGCCAAAACTTCAATTCTTTTTACTCAAATCCCCATTTTTCCCCAAAATTTTGTGAATTTCACCCAAAATTTCTGGAATCTTTCCCAAAATTTTGGGAATTCTCCTCAAAACCCCCAAATTTCCCCCCAAATTCAACCATTTTAACCCTTTAAACCCTGGTGATTTCACCAAAAATCTCAATTTTTTGCCCTAAAATCCCCATTTTTTCACCCAAAATTTCTGGAATTTCACCCAAAATTTTGGGAATTCTCCCCAATAATCCCTGGAACCCCCAAAATCTGACAATTTTAACCCTTTAAACCGCTGAAATTTTGCCAAAAATCCCCATTTTTTGTCCTAAAATCCCCTTTTTTTCACCTAAAATCTTCATTTTTTCCCCCAAAATTTCGGGAATTCTCCCCAAAAACCCCTGGAACCCCCAAAATGTGACCATTTTAACCCTTTAAACCCTGGCGATTTCACCAAAAATCTCCATTTTTTGCCCTAAAATCCCCATTTTTCCACCTAAAATCTTCATTTTTTCCCCCAAAATTTTGGGAATTTTCCCAAAATTTCAGGAATTCTCCCCAATAATCCCTGGAACCCCCAAAATTCGACCATTTTAACCCTTTAAACCCTGGCGATTTCACCAAAAATCTCCATTTTTTGCCCTAAAATCCCCATTTTTCACCTAAAATCTTCATTTTTCCCAAAAAAATTTTGGGAATTTCCCCCAAAATTTCGGGAATTCTCCCCAAAAACCCCTGGAACCCCCAAAATTCGACCATTTTAACCCTTTAAACCGCTGAAATTTTGCCAAAAATCCCCATTTTTCACCTAAAATCTTCATTTTTTCCCCCAAAATTTTGGGAATTTTCCCAAAATTTCAGGAATTCTCCCCAATAATCCCTGGAACCCCCAAAATTCGACCATTTTAACCCTTTAAACCCTGGCGATTTCACCAAAAATCCCCATTTTTTTGTCCTAAAATCCCCATTTTTTGCCCTAAAATCCCCATTTTTTCGCCCAAAACCCCCGGATTTTTTCCCAAAATTTTGGGAATTTTTCCCAAAATCTCTGGAATTCTCCCCAAACCCGCAGGACCCCCGGAACAAGCACAAGTTCAAGGTGCACAGCTACAGCAGCCCCACCTTCTGCGACCACTGCGGCTCCCTGCTCTACGGCCTCGTGCACCAGGGCATGAAGTGCTCCTGTGAGACCCCGAAATTTGGGGAAATTTGGGGAAATTTGGGGAAATTTGGGCATTTTGGGAGGTTGGGGGAAAATTTGGGGGGGTTTGGGAAAAAAATTCGGGGTTTTGGGGGGATTTTGGGGGGATTTGGGGGTTTATTTTGAATTTTTTTTTTTTTTTTTGGGGTTTTTTGACGTTTTTATTTTGAATTTTTGGGGATTTTTTGGGTTTTATTTTGAATTTTGGGGATTTTTGGGGTTTTATTTTGAATTTTGGGGGATTTTTTGGGGATTTTGGGGATTTTTTTGAGAATTTTGAGGGAGTTTTGGGGGGATATTTGGGAAAATTTGGGGGAAATTTGGGGATTTTGGGGTTTTATTTTGAATTTTGGGGGATTTTTTTGGGATTTAGGGGATTTTTTGAGAATTTTGAGGGGGGTTGGGGGAATTTTTGGGGAAATTTGGGGATTTTGGGCATTTTGGGAGGTTGGGGGAAAATTTGGGGGGATTTGGGAAAAAAAATCGGGGGGTTTGGGGGGATTTTGGGGGTTTATTTTGAATTTTTGGGGATTTTTTTGGGTTTTATTTTGAATTTTTGGGGATTTTTTGGGTTTTTTTGACGTTTTTATTTTGAATTTTGGAGGATTTTTTGGGTTTTATTTTGAATTTTGGGGATTTTTTGGGGATTTTTGACGTTTTCAGTTTGAATTTTGGGGATTTTTTGGGAGATTTTTTGGGTTTTATTTTGAATTTTGGGGATTTTTTTGGGTTTTATTTTGAATTTTGGAGGTTTCCTAAAATCCCCATTTTTTGCCCTAAAATCCCCATTTTTTCGCCCAAAACCCCCGGATTTTTTCCCAAAATTTTGGGAATTTTTCCCAAAATCTCTGGAATTCTCCCCAAACCCGCAGGACCCCCGGAACAAGCACAAGTTCAAGGTGCACAGCTACAGCAGCCCCACCTTCTGCGACCACTGCGGCTCCCTGCTCTACGGCCTCGTGCACCAGGGCATGAAGTGCTCCTGTGAGACCCCGAAATTTGGGGAAATTTGGGGAAATTTGGGGAAATTTGGGCATTTTGGGAGGTTGGGGGAAAATTTGGGGGGGTTTGGGAAAAAAATTCGGGGTTTTGGGGGGATTTTGGGGGGATTTGGGGGTTTATTTTGAATTTTTTTTTTTTTTTTTGGGGTTTTTTGACGTTTTTATTTTGAATTTTTGGGGATTTTTTGGGTTTTATTTTGAATTTTGGGGATTTTTGGGGTTTTATTTTGAATTTTGGGGGATTTTTTGGGGATTTTGGGGATTTTTTTGAGAATTTTGAGGGAGTTTTGGGGGGATATTTGGGAAAATTTGGGGGAAATTTGGGGATTTTGGGGTTTTATTTTGAATTTTGGGGGATTTTTTTGGGATTTAGGGGATTTTTTGAGAATTTTGAGGGGGGTTGGGGGAATTTTTGGGGAAATTTGGGGATTTTGGGCATTTTGGGAGGTTGGGGGAAAATTTGGGGGGATTTGGGAAAAAAAATCGGGGGGTTTGGGGGGATTTTGGGGGTTTATTTTGAATTTTTGGGGATTTTTTTGGGTTTTATTTTGAATTTTTGGGGATTTTTTGGGTTTTTTTGACGTTTTTATTTTGAATTTTGGAGGATTTTTTGGGTTTTATTTTGAATTTTGGGGATTTTTTGGGTTTTTTGACATTTTCATTTTGAATTTTGGGGATTTTTGGGGTTTTATTTTGAATTTTTGGAGGATTTTTTTTGGGTTTTGGAGGATTTTTTTGAGAATTTTGAGGGAGTTTTGGGGGGATATTTGGGAAAATTTGGGGGAAATTTGGGAATTTTGGGAGGTTGGGGAAAAAATTGGGGGAGTTTGGGGGAAAAATTCGGGTTTTTGGGGGGTTATTTTGAATTTTTTTTGGATTTTTTTGGGGGTTTTATTTTGAATTTTGGAGGATTTGGTTTTGGGGGGGATTTTGTTTTGAATTTTCGGGGATTTTTGGGGGATTTGGGGAATTTTTTTTTGAGAATTTTGGGAAAATTTGGGGGAAATTAGGGAATTTTGGAGGTTTGGGAAAAATTGGGGGAATTTTGGAGGGGATTTTTGGGGTTTTTTGGGATTTTTATTTTGAATTTTGGGGGATTTTTTAAAAATTTATTTTGAATTTTGGGGGATATTTTCTAAATTTTGGGATTTTATTTTCAATTTTGGGTTTTGTTTTTTTTTAATTTTGAATTTATTTTGATTTTTTTTTAATTTGGGGGATTTTATTTGTTAAATTTTAGGGGATTTGTAAAATTTTTTTTTATTTTATTTTGAATTTTGGGGATTATTTTTAATTTTTGGATTTTTTTTCATTTTTTAAAATTTTATTTTGAATTTTGGGGTTTTTTTAAATTTTTTGGGGTTTCATTTTGAATTTTGGGGATTTTTTTTAATTTTTGGATTTTTTTTCATTTTTTAAAATTTTATTTTGAATTTTGGGGTTTTTTTAAATTTTTTGGGGTTTCATTTTGAATTTTGGGGATTTTTTTAAAATTTTTTGGGTTTTTTATTTTGAATTTTGGGGGATTTTTTGGGGTTTATTTTGAATTTTCGGGGATATTTTCTAAATTTTGGGATTTTATTTTCAATATTGGGGTTTTTTTTTTGGATTTTATTTTGAATTTTATTTTGAATTTTGGGGATTTTTTTTAATTTTTGGATTTTTTTGTTCATTTTTTTTAAATTTTATTTTGAATTTGGGGATTTTTAAGAAATCTCAGGGCGGATTTGGGGATTTTAAAGGAATTTTTAAGGAATTTTCCCAAATTTTCCATCCTGAGAGGGGAAAACTCCAAAAAAAAATTCAGATTTTTAAAATTTTTTCGCCGTTTTGACCCCAAAAAATCCCCAAAAA